GGAAATTTGGTAGGGGGGAGGGTGGCCATACTAATCGCCACCAATACCCACAGACATATTTCCTTACCCATCCGGAGCCCTGCAAGCCAGATACAATGGCTTTGCAGGCCATATTTGGCCTTCAGGCTGGAAGTCGAGCACGCTTCGTATACCATAGTATCTAAAATAGTGATGTGTTTTGAATACCATGCATTATTTGCAAATCAGTACATGATCTCATAATCAAATGCATGCATCAATATTGTACTTACCTAAAAGGGAACATTAAAGGCTGCACTTTAACTCTTAACATTTCTGTTTCAGACTATTGTACACTAATGCGTCTCCTAAGCTGTGTGGCTTTAACTTACTTTTCTGCATGTAATTTCCTAGGTCATAAAGTTTTCCTTTTTAATAGAAACAAAACAACTGCATTAAAAAAAAACTTAAAGTATGCCCTATTTTGATCAACCTATTTCTAAAGATAGCACATATGTACTTAGCCAGACACTGTATTTGCATGGGATTAAAAACTACAAAGATCCAAGTAATGTTTCTGTCTCAAAAGTATACAATTAATCCAAAAGACACAGATGTAGCTTCCTCATACTTAAGTTTTTATTAGTAGGATAATACAAATTTTAGTTCAGCTAATACAAAGGAGTGTAAATAATCACCAGCTATAAGGAAAAGTGAGCATATAAAAGTGCATAGATATTTTATTATGCAGCACAGTTTGTTACAACTTAACCTTTGTACTCTTATTCAGATGCCAAGTAGTACAACTTAGTGGTAAGTCTGTAGCTTAATAAATTATTGTGAAGATTTACCTACAAAAAAAGAGGGAAAATTGGGCTTGCTTTGACTCATGATTGTATACAGATATGAGTTCCCCTTCTGCAACAAAAATAGAATGGTCTTATTTCGTGCCCGGTATATCATACTGATTGTCCCCTGCTTCTCCCAGCAATATCGGCAATCTGCAATTCAACTTCACACCCTTTGAGAGAGTATATTTAAATATGAATTCTATCATCAATAAAACCTTTTCTCCAAGTCATTTGTCAAATGATTGTATTAAAACATTTATAAAACAAATTCTACAGTCTGACCAAAATAAATCTTGTTTCTTCCCTCTTTGTTACATGTGATATCATGAATCTACTTGCTCTGCAGATGGCTACTGAATCTTTCAGGAAAAGTGAGATTTAAAACAGGGAACTGAATGTTGGATTTAAGATAGAAGCTGACTTTTAAAAAAGCCATCATTTATTTTTTTTGTTTCATTGAATTGTATGTACTTAGCAGGCATAAAAGAAGCCTCTATTCAGATCTGCAACATAAAACAGCAAAAAGGCGACATAACAGTAGATTCTCCCTCTCTTTTTGCAGCTAACTGTCACATAGATAAAAGCATAAAACGGTATTTCATGCTCAAAGTTGGCACACACGCTCTTTACTCAGAAGAAAATATTTTTTACTGCATTCTTTTTAAGAAATGAGAAGATGAGCTGGGCTCCATTTACAGAAATGTAAAAATAGAAGTCAAAAGGTATCCATTCCTGATTCTTCTACTACTCCAAGTAACCCATTTCTAAAGTAAAAGCTAGAAAATGGCTTTTCTAAAATTTGGCCTGATTCCTTTGAATTCTTTGTTGTTATAATAATGACCCCATCCAGCAAAGCACTGACATATTTACTTAAAGAATGTGAAGAGACCACTGAAGTAAATATAACTACTCCAGTACTTAGCTTTAAGCACATACCTAAGTGATTCACTAAATCACAGCCAACATAAACAGAAGGAAAAATGGATTTTGAGAAGTAGCTTGTATGTAGGTCAATCATTTATTTTCATGTGAGTTTTTAAATATACATTTTATACCCACGCAAAGTAAGCCTACATGGCATGATGCAGCATCAATCTTGTATTTTTCATCCAGTAGATCAGATCAATTTAACTTGAGCACTAACAACTTTATTGAATTACAGCGGCTGAATAACTGACGCAAGGTCAGCTAAACAGTGTTTGTACTTGCACACCAATCCTTCCAGCTCGTTAAGCATTTTGCTTTCTACCTCTTGTTCCTTTCTATCAATATATTCTGTTCTCTCCACATTCTCTCTCTCTCATGATGTCTTTCGCTCTCCCATGACATTCTCTTCCACTTACTGGCTTATAAAAAAAAAAAATAACACGGTTTGTTCAAGCAAGACAGATCTAATTTAAGCCACACTACTACCACCTACTGGATATAAAGCAAAGTGAGTGGATAACAAGACAAAGAAATGATGGGACTAGTTGTAATGGCAACATTTGGCTATAGCTTCTTGGGTTTTTCTTAATTCATTAATTCAAGTCTCCTTCCCTGGACCTCCAGTCAAAAAGCGTGGACAGGCAACTTTACACTTACAGAAGCATGATTAATGAAAGTAGCATCAAGCCTAGCTAAAGAGAAGATAAAATACGAAGGAGAGGGTGCTGGAACTTGTATTCTTCCCTTTAGCAGATATATAACACCGCCCACTATTACAGACCAATTGGTTCAGTGCTTAGCAAAGGTGCCTTGCAATAAAACGTTATTTCAGCTGCAGATGTCAGACAGCTCCCTCTAAACCATACACTGTAACACTGGATAAATAAAGCGACCCACAGTCCAGGTTCCTACCACTCAGTTTGCTCCCATATCTTCTTACACAATCTACCTATAGTACATCAGTGTTCCAAAATGTCCTAGATGTCATACAAAACAGTCCAATCTACTTCTGTTGAAACAAAGGACTGTCACAAAGAGCTAAAAAGAGTTGCAGACTTGGCTATAAAGGCTAGAAAGGATAAGGATGTGAGAAAGACTCCACAGTAATGCAGCAAGGCACACACACTTCCTTTTTATGGAAAATGAATGATCTTATCTTTCTCTTACCCTTACTTCTAAGCAGGTCAGCAGAATAAGATTTAGGAGCTATTTGGGGGTAGTTTGGGGATGGATTTACAGAGATTTACAGATAAAGGGTGGACTAAACACAACGAGCAGTATGAAAGACAGCATGGATACTAGTGAAAGTACAAGGGAAAGG